TTGAAGGACCGCTCAAAAAGAACAGGTTCATAGTATTTTCCCTGTTTAAAAACTCTGTCCTCGCTACTCTTAGAGCTACCACGGGCTAACCACACTGTATTTTCGTGGTTAATAATTGTTGACATGAAATCTAGAGGGTCATGAATAAAGCCCTGAAAATTGCATATTTAAATTACTTCTCGGTCTGAATATCTCTATAAAGTTAAATAAAATGTTAATCAACTTATTTGTGATATTTATTTTAGCCTTCATTGGCCGTTTGAAGTGTCTTTTACGAAATTACTTTTGGCCGAAGGCCGTTGAGAGAAGGGAGACAAGGCTTGCAACTTGGTGGCCGCCAGCCGTGACATCCTCAACTTCAAACTGGAATTAATGCCAAAAAATCTCTCCTAACTGGCGACGGCTGTTGATCCCTGAGATATTGCTCTATGTCTTCACCAAATTTGAACTTCATCCCTCAGACATTTTCTGAGAAAATCGATCTTGAAATAAAACAATGTAGCTTTCTAAATATGATCGGTGCCAAACTCAGCGACCAAAGCATGCAGGCCGTTTCAAATTTTGTGCAGCAACTTCCCGTGGCAGCCCTCCGTGGTTTAAAACCAAGCTGAGCGCTGATTGCTAAATTTGAAAGGGCTTTCATCCTATCTTTCTACCGTTCCTATCTCTACAAGAACTTAAAATATATTAAAGTTCACACGGCAACCAGGTAGACAATCAGACATGGTTTGATGCTACTCTGGTTTACAGATTTAATGAATGTAACCGAAGAAGTTACAATTCATAGACCCAACGTTTCGACACTCCTGTCTATTGCCTTCATCAGGGGTGAACTAAACCCTGCAACAAGAGTTCCTCTTATATGATCATTAGTGTTTTTTTTTTTTTTCTGACGAGGTGTAAATAGTCGTCAGGAAGCAAGCCGCCTTCGTCACGATTTAAAGGAGCGTGGGCGGAGTTGAAGTTAAAGTTGTTCAAAAACTTTTTCAGACTTTGGGACATATTTTTGCCAAACCTAAGGATCCTGTCACGAAAGAGCAAGGAACCGACGCCATTTATTCTATTC